AAGTGGGCCCTGGTTGGATTGGGGGGAGCGGGGAATGGGAAGGAATTAAAGAGTGGAGGGACTAGTGTATGTCCACTTTGGCTTCCTCCCTGGTCTGTTCTGGGACCGGCAGGTGAAAATAGCAGGTTTGGGAGTAAAGGTAGAGACTACAGCAGGGGAAATGGCTGAGGAAAGTGGAGATCAAATTTAGGGCTTTCCTGAGAGATGGTACCCTGGCAGGGGACTGGGGGTGAGAAGGGGGAGGGAGCAAAGGACAGGTGGGGGACACCAGGGCTGTTATGGCAGAGCAGGGTTGAAGGTGGCATTTGGTCTGTGGCCCATGGGGGTGTGGGCTCCAAAGACAGTCAGTAGTAAGAAGCAAGTTGGATCTTGTCCAGGGCTATATCTTGGCCCCAGCTGCACCTGCTCATGAACAGATCAGAGTCCACTCTGGGGAAGACCACAGCATTTGTCTTTATTTTTCCTCAGTGACTACAGGCAGCAGCAATGCCCTGAAGGTTAGCAGCAGCAGCAGGTGGCAGGAAGGAGTGGGGGGAGAGGGCACCAAGTCTTGGGAAGAGGGAGGGACCCCTTCCTCTCCCTCCCTTTGACCTCGGAGGGGAGAGGTAGACCCTGGAGTGAGCCCTCTCAGCCCCATTTCTGGGCAGATACCCACCAGTCTGCCCAGGGAAAGCAGAGCGGGTGCCCTGGGGTGGAGGTGTTGGCCCTGAGTGCCCTGAGGCCCCTGCTCCAGGCTGCAGGAACACAAGCCAATGTCTTCACTCCGCTCGTGCCTCGATTTCCCAAATTATAAAATAGGTTACTACCTAAAATATGGGGTACATTTTGTGTGTGAGTAAGAGGGGACCATGAGGGGCCTTGGCTGGCTGTTATAGAGTGGAGAGGGTCAGATGTATAGCGGTGGGGTCACTGGGGTCAGGAGGCAGCAGTTCCAGGGGCTCAGAGGCCTGGGTGGACAGGGATTATGCAGCGAGGAAAAGGCCTTTAGAATTGGGAAAAATTTGGCCCACCCTCCCCCATGGGAAACAGGCTCTCTCTCCTGTTTCAGCATCTTCAAGAGGATGAGTCACTTCCTTGATACCCACAACCCAGAGGCCAAGTGTAATCGGTCACCCACAACCCCCCACTGATGTCTAGCATCATCCCTCTGCCTCCTCCACCATCTCTACTAGCGCCCCCTACAGCCTGCATGGGGGCAGTCCTCCTGGGCTTGACCTCTCCGTACCCACACTTATGGGCCAGACAGCCCCCCTCAACTCCCTCCCAGTACCCCTTCCCTCTCCACTTACACTATAGATCCCCCAAGTGCTGAGAATCAAGCTGCCTCGTGCTCAAGGCATGCCTACGGTCTGGTTACCTGCATGGCAGCTCGGTCAGGCTGAGATATTTGAATCATCACTCAGGAGGCCCCTTTGGGATCTGGGCAGGCCGGGACTTCTGTCTGGTGACCACCCCAGGTAGCAGGACATCCCCACCCACTCTTAGACCGGTCAGGGTCCATCCAGAAGAACCAGCCTCTGGCCAGAGCTACCCTGCCTGTGGGGACTTCCCCTTCCTGTCTCAGAGTCTTGGTTTTCCTCCAGCAGCCTGAGGAAACTCAAAAGCCCAGCTGCCAGAGAGCTCCAGAGACCTCCAGCTCTGGCAACAGTTGCCATAACAACGGGGATTGAGATGCAGAGGGTGATTTACTAGGTCGTCCTGCCCTCCCCAACTTCTCTCCTCCCTCCCAGTTCTAGCCCAAGCTGCTGGCCACGCCCCTCCTGACTGCCCCTTTGAGGTGAGTGTCCTGTTAGTTGGAGTTGCTGGGTGCTGGGTGGGTGCCGTCTGGCAGGCCTACTGCTGATGGAGCCTAGGGCAACAAGCTGGTGTAGAGACAGAGAAGGGAGGGGAGAGGTTGGCGGCAGGGGGGCAGGACTCAGGTCTGGGGAAATGACCTATCAGAGGAGGGGCAACTATCCTGCTCCTGCTGCAGGCCCCTCATGTGTCGGGCAGGGGTGACTATGTGGGTCCAGCCTCACATGACGTCCTTGTGCTCCTGCTTGGACTCCTTAATGACCTGCAGGGGACAGGGAAGGTGCACAGTGCAACAGTTAGGAGCCCACACAGTCCCCAGGTCTACCACTGCTAGGCTTTGTAACCTTGGGCAAGTCCCTAACCTCTCTGGGTCTTTCTTTTCTTGATAGTAACCACAACTACCTTATGCAGTAGTCCCAGGGGTAAGGAGATAACACTTGTAAAGCATTTAGCACCATGCCTGGCATATGGTAAGCTGAGGGTGTAAGATTAGCTATTCCTGTCGCTGGCATGAATGGGGCTGGGGTATGCCAAGTCCCCTCCTCCCAGTGCTCTGGCAGGTGCCTTTTACCTGGCTGGACATTGAAAGCCCTCTCTCCCCCAACTGTCCCAGCCAGAGTGGGGAGTGAAAGCTGCCAACTTTAATTCTCTTTCTCTCTCCCCCAGGCCTGGCACTGGGG